AAAATATTTTGTGTGTATGTACGTGCATGTGTAATTGGCATATAGGATATTTCCCGTTTCCTCTCACTTGTATGTCTCGGTCAACAAATGAGGTGGCGTGATACATGTCGGTGGAAGAGCCCACGTATATTACAGAATAAGCTTTCATTCAAATATTTTATATTTCTGCCTTTCAGTTCTCTATTATATGTTTTGAAACTATATATATATATATATATATATATATATATATAACTGTCTTTTTCTTCTTCATTTTTTAAATTATTTAAAGCGATAGAGTAGTGAGGGTATTGTGGTGTTACGTCTGTGAGAAAGAGGGTGTAGGATGGAAAATAATTTGTCACTCACAAGGACGCAGTGACGCTTTTTGAACTCTATTAAGTGCCTAACTTTATAGTTAGGCATTTATTCAGCAAACAATAATCAGAATGTTGAAGAAGAAATAGAGTTAGGCACATTTTTAGCGAACAATACTTGCAAAGGAAACAGAAATAATGTCAGGCATGTATATATATATATATATATATATATATAAGTCTCAAACACTAATATTCCATTGTTATAATTTATTACCTACAAATTCAAAAAGCTTTTTGAATTTGTAGGTCTGATGAATTGGATCGTGATTACGATTCCGATGTAATAAATTATAACCATGGAATATTAGTGTTTAAGCCTTTTATATTATATACTTACTCTGTCCTGGATATTGAGTTCTACCTGGATTCTATCCTCTTGAGAATTTATGTATATATATATATATATATATATATATATCGGATATATATATATATATATCGGATATATATATATATATATATATATATATATATATATATATATATATATATATATATATATATATATATATATATATATATATATATATATATATATATATATATATATATATATATATAAAATTTTTAAAAAGCTCTACTTCTGTATGGAGCACTGTCTTCTTAAAAATAAAAACAAAAATACTAAGGAACTCCGGATTATTTACCTAACGTGTTCCTTTCTATTTTTCTGCATACTTGCGCGCGCGCACAAGGAAGCAATGGCATTTGGAGGCCTGTTTAAAGACCAAGTTAATGGCCTTTTAAGCTTCTTTCACGTGAATTACAGTAAAATGTTGAATATGTAAGAATTAAATATTACAAGGGGACACCAGAATTTTAGAAATACTAAAGTGAGGCAAGGCCAAAAATCGGTTGGGAATCGCTGCCATAGGGTTATGGTGAACATCGGTTGAGAAACAATGGTCTCGTCTAAAAATGGAGTATTGCTGTCTTAACGAGGTACATCCTAACCACCAAACGTCCACTGTCTTCTCCAACTAGACATTCCAGTCGATTCCGCACCAATTTAAGCGAGCGACTGACCCCACCCGTAGATAGTCATGGCTCTCCACAATTTCTTGTCCTTTATAGCTCTTAATAAATTTTGTCTTCTTATTTCTCCTAAACCCTGTTCCGCCGTCCATTTACTCAAGCTTGCTAGGTAGGTTATGCGTTGTTTTTCTCTGTCCATCTTGCTTTCAATCTGTCCTGAGTATCAGATTTTCCAAGCCTCCTTTCCTCATTATATGTCCTAGAAATTTCAACTGTCTTTTTCTGAAGTTTTGTTGTTTGTATTTTCAATAAAACTTCGTCGTTGCTCACATGCTTGGCAAATAGCAAGGTTCAAATACGTATATCTGTCACAAGAAAATACATAGAAAATTCAAGGAATCTAAATAAAAGATCATATGAACACAAAAGGGACATTTTACAAAACAATACGTCAAATCCGTTGGTTGCCTACCGAAAGGTGACTGGCCACAATTTTGACATAAAAAATGCTACTCTGGTCAAACGAAAAAAATAATTCGCTACAACGGAAATGTCTAGAGAGTTCCTTGATCGCAAGGTCATCCACAGTAGATTTGCGTCTTGGCTCTTATAATATTTCATAATTCCTGACAGATCTTCAAATATCACAGTGAGGAATACCTACTAACAAAAATGATGGAAAAAAAAAACCACTCTAAATAAAGTGGGCTAGATTTTAAAAAAAAAAAAACTAAAATGCCCAGCATCTCTCGTACGTGCGTATGTGTAGTCGTACCAACATAACAAATTTAACCTGATGTAGTCCTGAAGGACGATATGCGTCACTTTGTCATACAATTTTCCCAATAATTTTCGTGATATATAAAAATATATATCGTTATCTTATGCATATCTGTCTACATTCTAATGGCTGCTGACTTTTTGTTGTCTATTTACGCAGTTGTGACATAGAAACAAAATCGTAACGATTTGAACGACTAGGCTCTGATCCAGACATTTTTTTCTCTATTGATTCTTAATTTCAATAGAAACGAAAGTGCTTATGTCGTGACATCAATATTAATTAAACAAGGCAAAAGAAGCCTACAGGAGAATAGTTTCTTCATTATTTAGAAGGTATCGATTTATTTAGGTGACCAAAAAATAATAATAATACATAAATAAAT